CACAAAAATTTCTTTTTTAATACAACTACCAATTTACACTTAGGAGTAGAGAATTTTTGCTCAGCACATGATAAATTAGCTACAATAATTTGGTGTCAAACTCATTATCAATGAAAGTCGAATCGAGGACTTCCAACTTATAAATAGAGTAGCACTAAACTTTAGTGCTAAGTGTCAAACTTTAATGACAACAAGATGAACAATAAGTAAAATGTTACTGATAATACTTCATGCGATATTTTGTAGATCATAGAATGTAACGGTTGATGATTGAATATCATCTTTAATAATTTAAACAAGAAATCTAATCATCAAGTTATGTGTTCTATGATCTTGCTAATTGACCTAGCCTGCGGAATGTGTAAAAAACCCGAGTTTTGAGTCAACCCACTTCTAGGAGGAACCCTAATGTTTTACGGCAGGCGATTATATGGAGTCCAACAAACCCACAAGTGGACGATTCAAAAAAATTTCGAAGCTTTCGTAGGGTTGATGGTAACCATCGATCCAATTGCCCCACGTACCCAATTGTTATCTCCATAAATCTTGTGAAATGACTTGTGGGTCTCCGGGGTCCCCAGTCCTGACATTCATCCTTCTAACAAAATGCATAGTGCATTCCTACTGTATCATGAGAAATCAATTTACATAAAATGAACGTGACAATAAATTTATTTTATGTAAATTTTTCTTTCACTCACAAATAAATCTTGTTAATCATCAATTGCTCAAAAGAATAAAAATATTATAACGTTCCGAAGTATTCTATACTCAATAATTTTCAAAGTTAGCAGTTCTTGACAAAGGATTTTGACAATTAGATATACCAAAATATAAAATGCCCTGAAATACAACCTGAAGCAGGCAACGGTTTCTCTTTAACAATAAAAGGTCTATTTATTATTTTATATTATGAATTTTGGTTGAAACGATGTGCTTGCTTGAGGCTCAAGCAGTTTTTATATCAATTAAAAAGATTTAGGTATCAATCTCTCTCTCCCTCCCTCTCAAAAGCTTTGGCCTTTGGATGATTAAGTAATTGAGGAAATAGAATTAAATTTGAGTAACAATATTATCCTCCATAATAAATAAGAGTGATTTTATTAAGGATAACAGTGTGATTATTGCGTTTGGTATGGGAGGACATAACACCTCCACGTCAAAGGTTTTTGATATGGACCATGATTTGTTTGGACCACATGTTTAACCTCTAGGCTTAACCAATAGCTATGCCTTCCAAATCAAAACTAATTGTATTCATCGACTGAAAAAAGTTTTAAATCTGTCAAATTTAGGGTACGCGGCTGCTACTTGGAGCATCTCCAATAGATGCGGTAAAACAACCAAAATTTTATTCTAAGAGTTGAATTTAGAAAAAAAAAAATACATCTCTAACAAGCTTGGTAAAAGAGTTTCTATGACATTAAAATGAATAGTCACTTGTTAAATTTACAAAGCAATTGTTCATAAGTTAAATATTAAAGAATAATAAAACTCAAGAGTGGACTCCTGAGTAAGGAGAAAATGAAGAGTATAAAAACTGTTTTAGAAAATGAGTGAATTGAGTTTGAATTGTTAATAATAAAATATTCAAAGCTTGTTAGAATAGAAAGTGTTGTCAGATATGAAAAGTTAAATTGAGTAAATAAAATAGTTTTTAACTCTGTTTACTTACTAGTTTAACAAAAATTTAGAGCTTCTTTTAAAGATGCTCTTCTAAGTTACTGCTATTGTTTTTGGGGAAAATTAAGTCATTTCAGATAAGCATATGTGATTTATTATTGTAAAAAGTAGAAAAAACGACAAAGAAAATAAGGTAAAAGGAGATGAACTTTATTATGCGTATGCTCTAAGTTTGGTAAAGCATACATTGTTCAAACTTAATTTGACAAGTGAACCACACTCGTCTATTTTCAACACATTTTGATATATGATTATTGGTTTTAATTTTAATTAAATAAGGTTCATGAAGATGATAGCAATACTTCATCACTCTAATCTAATCATTGTGTATCATTTACCCACGTAATGCATATCTATGCGTATAATTATGACGATTTTACTCTATAAAAAAACTGTAGTATGTGAGTTTTTTTTTAAGTGTAGTATGTGAGTTTATTACTGCATGAGAGTATGGAGAAATGAGGAGATAAAAAATTAGGGTGTGGGATAGAGGAAGTGGGTAGATCAAAATTGCTATCCCACCCTTAGTTTTCAAGTTATATTTTATCCTCCTTGTCAAATAGTTATTTTATCTTCTTTGGAAACCAAAAAAAAAAAAAAAAAAAAAGGTTAGTGGCTTCGCTACTATAGTCTATTCTTTTAGAAGCTGGAAAAACTAACATAGAATCGAACCCAGGACGTTCTATGTAGAATACAGACTTGAAATTTATCTTCACCTGCTAGACTACCCGTAGTGATTAGTTATTTTATCCTCTTTGATTAACAGAGAGTTACCTTGATATATATATATATAGACTAATGAGGAAAAAAAACTTGTTCTCTATAAACAAATATAGAATTAATTTCTTTAATTAACTTATAGTCATGCCTTTGTGTATTGAGCTTCATACTTTGCATGACAAACTTCATAATTTGTTAAATATATCATAGAAAAAGCTGTTGGATATAAGTCAACAATCTGTGATAAATTATATATGCTAATAAATAATAAATGCAATAGAAACTAACAGAATATAAACTAGAATATGAATTATAAAACAGACAACTTGAAGATCGAGGCTTGCGTACCGCAATGTCCTTGAAACAGAAATTTCGTCCCTACTCTGTGCTTGTAGTTCTACGGACGTCTGCTTCACCAGGATTTAACGATCAAGTTAAAATTCCAGCATCGGAAAATTTAACTTTTGGCGAATTTAGTGTGGTTCTCTCAGTAAGAAGGTTTAGGAATGTAGAAGATGAAGTTGATTATTTTCTGTGTTTTAAATGATATGCAGATGGATGTATATATAGCAGATGGATGCCTGTTTGCAACAGGTATGAGAATGGGGTGTGACTGTTGGGAGACATCTCTTCAGAGGGTGCTTTGCTCTGTGTTCAGAAAGAACTCTCAGACTTCATCTGAAAGGATGAGTCTTTTCATAAAAAAATAAATTAATTAATTCGAATTTAATTAAAAAATAATTAAGTAAATCCGAAAAATAATTAATTAAATAATTTAATTATTAGAGCCCAAGAGCAAGGCCCATCTTTTGACAATTAAATATATATTAATTATATATTAATTATAATTAATTATATATTAATTACCAAATAATTAATACACCCCAAAGCCCAACCCCAAGGGTGAGCCCAATTTTAGTCTCCAGGCCTATTACTCCAATCACTTTCTTTAAAGGACAAAACCTTATAAAGTGATAAAATCTTTTGGGAATGGCCAATGTGGGACAAGGAAATTTCTACTCAAACTACTCAAATTTCCAACAAAAGCCACAAAGAAGAGAATAAACGAATCAAAACTTAATCGTACCGTAGATGGATTTTATTTTATGTTATACGTGTTAATGTTATCTCAATTATTGGTATGAATAGGTGATGTTACAACTCAAGCAACATGGTTAATTAAGTAGAGCCATGAATGTTGCGTATTGGGGAATTGGACAACTCATTACAACAGTCGTACAATATATATGTACATATATGTCTTCACCATCATGCATCCATATGCCATCAATCAACATCGTTAATTAAAAACACATATTGAAAAAGATGAGTTTGGGATTCTACCAAACTTGAAAATAAAATGACGAAAATCCTTCACATCCACATGACGGGCCACGTGACGTGTCTTCAAAATATATAAGATTTTTAGCTAAAATAGTTCATGAAATTAGTATAACTCTTTGCTTTGATTCTTGACATTGAAAAGTGATAGAAGTGGTTCTTAAGTTTGTCTACTGTCAATCATTTTAATTTTTTCATGAAAAATCTCCGTTAAATGGAATGCAAGTGGAGGGGTTGATTGGATAAAAATACTCTCAATTTAATGGAGATTTTTCACGGAATGACCAAAATAATATTGGCGATGAACAAATTTAGTAACCACTTATATTGATTTTCAATCTCAATGATCAAAGTAAGAAGTTATGCCAATTTCAAACACTATTTTGACCTAGAAACCGTATATATATAGACATAAAGGGATGGCATTCACATAGTACCATGCTACTATTCATCAATTAAGTTACTCCACATCCAACCCATGGAATAATGTACATGATGCATTCCGTATCCAAATGACATAAATATAAAGAATAAAAGGAAAATATATTACTTACTTGTATAAACCCATCCATCTCATTGTAATTAACATATTTTTATTGGTTAATGTCATAATCAAAATTCTTTAATTTGTGAATAACTATTTAAAGTTCATGTGCCAAAAATCAACTGAACTAAAAAGTTTTTGGTCATTCATATGTACTAATAAGGATTGAAGTATCAAAACTGTCAAATTGTTCCATACATAAGGATGTTTAAATGATATTTTTATAGGAAAACTAATGAAAAGGGCTTGAAAACTTTGAGTTTTAATGATAAGGACAAAATAAAGGGTAAAGTGAATAGTACCAGGATTGACTTTTTAGTGTAAAAATATGGTTTTTCGTTAAAGTGAACAGTACCATGTGCTTTTCGTTAAAGTTCCCTATTTTTATTGGTTTTTTACAAAAGATAATTTTTAAATGAACGCTTTTGGTTATAAAATGTATAATATTATACTAATAACAATATAAAATTTACAAATGAGTGGACAATGAGGTGCACTCAATAAGTAGACATGAGTTTTGTCTTCATTTCTAGATACAAACAACATTAAGAGAAAATTCTAACAATGCAAGAATGACCACTCTTCAATACAAAACCATCGTTATTTTTATGTAGACGGATGAGGGGCTAGTTGCCCCATTCCCACCTTGCTTTGCTTAAATATGAGACTCCAGTACTATATTGGAGAGATTTTTTAAGTGTTCGAAACATAAGACGGTAAACCATATATTATTAAGCGGAGAATTTTTTTTTACTCATGATATAAGACGTTCCGGGCACATACTTGAAAGGTTGACGGCGACTTTTCTATCTTTTCTCTGTTCTCCCCGGCCCCTTCCTTTCTTCTCCATTTGATTCCTTTTTTCTAATTCATTCCACCTCCCTCCCTCTCTCCATATATTGCAACTGTGCATGACGAGACTAAGCTTTCCATCCCCCCTTCATAAAGTTCTAAAAGCAACGCGTCCTTTCCAACACTCACTCACCAAAACCCTAATTTTCTCTTCTCTCTCCTCACCTCCTTCTAATTCATGCTCAATTCTCACGGACGATTCCAATCCACCAGTCCACGGCGGATCGTCCTGATCTATTCTCATGGACGAAAACAACAAAAAACGCGATCCACTAACCACGACCGAGTTCACGACTCAGTCCACCTGGACTCCGGACTCCGACAGCGTCTACTTCTTCAGTACCACCCACGACAGAGACAGCAACATACTCAGCGACTTCGGCTGGAACTTCAACCCGGTCGCCTCCAAACCCGATGAAGTCTTCCCCTGCCTCGACCCCATCGCCGCCGCCGACGACATGTCCGATTTGGCGGGAAATACTAGCAGTAGTCCTCTTGTTTTGGAGAACAGCAGCAGCAGTAGCAGCCCCGCCTTTCGGAGCTCCGACCTGGCCCCGGTTGTCGGATCCGCTTCGACCAATCAGTCCGCGTCTACGAGCTCCAGCGAGGATCCTCCCGAGAGGTCTGCAGGCTCCGGCGGCAAACCACCGCCCGAGATACAGTGAGTTGGGTTTCCATGATTGAGTAATATTGATTAATAATGGCTTATTGCGTAATTAACTTGCTTTTCGTGGGCTACAACTGAGGCAGGGATCTTTTTACAAAATAAATAATTAAATGGATAAAAATGAAAAATATCAGAACGGGTTTGCAAAATCTGCAATTGGGGTCTCCGTCCGTACGCTTTAGAAAGTGAGAAACTATTAGAGCTGCACCCACACACAGAGTTCATGCAAGTTGGGGTGGCATTTTTGTAATTCCACAGAGAATTAGGGCGTGGCAAAGCAAATTTAACGGCAGGAAATGGCGTGCCAAAATTCACACTTTTTGGTAAAGAGGGAAAAAAGAGTGAGAATATGGTGGAAATAAAGCGAGTTTAATTTATTATATATGCTTGTTTTTAAATGATTTAGGTTTAGTTAGGAACAATAATGTAATTATATGCTAGCTCTTGCTGTAGGGTTTTTTATTTTATTTTTTACAAACAATAACAAAATTTTATCTCGTCAAGTGGGGTCAGCTGTATGAATCATCGAACGCCACTGCAAATATTGGCGTGAGTAAGTGATGGATGATGCATGTGACATATTTGTCTCTAAGTAGCATTTGCATTACCATAATAAAGAGAGAGTTGGGCGATGATGATATTGCTGCCATGGGATTCTTCTTTAATTTGTGGTCCATATTTTTGGATTTCTTCCTAATAATGGTGGCTTATAATTACATGCACCACCTCACTTTTAGTTGCCGACTACCGACTATGTTGAACCCCTTGCTATTGTTTGGAATTGGAATTTAATTTACTTTGATACGAATTACAGGTTTATTCCCTAACGGCTTAAGTTTAAGTTTAAGGTAAAACATAATGCATGATATACCACACTAGTGTTGACATATGTCAATATCTTCTGAGCGACCATGTGGAATGATGTCAATAATTATATACATTATGTTTTAGGTGGATCACATTAGAAACTAACCATGCATGAATATATACGTGGTACTTTTATATGGCATTTCCGTTTAATTTGTAATATATGACATATAATTCACTTATCTTTTGGGTTTTTTTTTTCTTTGGATTTTTCAAGATATTGTTTTTGTTGTGATAATTGTAGGTAAAATATTTTGTAGGAGTAAGGTTAAAAAGAAGGGGCCGAAGAGAATCCGGCAGCAACGATTCGCATTCGTGACAAAGAGTGAAGTTGATCATCTGGAGGATGGCTACCGATGGAGGAAATATGGTCAGAAGGCTGTTAAAAATAGTCCATTTCCAAGGTCTGCAACCATTTAATTACCATCTCCACTAAAATGTTGGTACTTGCTATATATTTTCATTTTGAGACTGTTATCCTTGTCATCTAAATATGGAAATATTTTTCTTAATTTCTTATAACTGATAGCTTTATTTTTTTTTTACCCTAAATTTCCAAGCCTCAAAAATAGACCTAGAGATTGTACAGATTGCGAGCGTGCCACTGTCTACCTACACTAAAAAAACTAACTTTTAATCTAAAGATTGTGAACTGAGTAGAGGGACAGAGTTTACAAATTTGGGATTAAACAACTTCAAAGTGGTTATGAATTATTGGAACAAAAGAATATTCTAACAGTTAAATGTATATGCATCATCTTGCACAATCTGACACTGAATCTTTTGCTGTTTATTTTGCAAACCAACAATCATTAGTTTATTAGATATGCAGATATTAATCACCAGATTACATGCATTACAATTTTTATATGCAGAATCTCACACTCAATCTTTTGCTGTTTAATTTGCAGGAGCTATTATCGCTGCACAAATACCAAATGCACAGTGAAGAAACGAGTTGAGCGTTCCTCTGAAGATCCCACAACTGTAATTACCACATATGAAGGCCAACACTGTCATCATACCGTTGCATTCCCTCGTGGGGGAGTCATTGGTCATGAATCTGGCTTTGCAGGTCACCAGTTGGCTCAGCTGTCTCCAGCCTCACACTTCATGTATTATCCAACAATTCGACCCAGAGAAATAACTAGTCCTATTAATTTGACCCCAACGGCGTCGCACCAAGCAGTAGTCCGACGTCATGACGATGATCAAGCTGCAGGAGGATCATCCCACTTCATTGATCCTCAGCCAACCCCACCTCTTCCTACCGATGAAGGGCTTCTTGGAGACATTGTACCTCCCGGAATGCGAAATCGATAACGACTGGAGTAAAAGGGTAATAATACACCAAAACTTCACTTGAATTATTTAACTATTTAATGTATATAATGAAGATGGTACTTTCTAGTTATAGGATAATGTTATTCACACACATTTATTTTTACCTCTCACACACTCTTGTTAATCTTTTGCCATTGATCTGTTTCAATTTATTCGATTCACCGGCCGGAAATTGAGAGAGGTGAGTGAGAAGTAAAAATAAATATGTGGATAGTATTATCCAATTTATAATGCCTAGGAGAATAACTTTCATAACATGAGACATTATGATAGCAGTGTACTCGTGGAGGTTGCTCTCTTACGATAAAAGTTCATAACCTGACGTTTGTACTTACTTCTTAACAATCATCTAGCTAGCTTATTAGGTTGAACACACGCAGATATATATTAATCACCAGAATGTAGGCAATAGTACTGTTGGTTTGAAAACCCTAGAAGTTGAAAGGATGATGAAGACTAAGAATTATAGCAACTTAATTATATAATAATTTCGATTTCTGGAGAAGTTACTTTAGGCGCATGATTGGAAGAATGTAGCTTCTTAATTCCGAAATCTTCTGAAATCTGTGGAATTAATTAAAGTAGAGGTGTTTTCCTTTTTAATTAAAAAACACAAGCGTGAATTATAATTGAGTGGTTCTTATTCTATATGACTAGTATATATAATTTTGTGTATCTAATTGTTTCCTTGTGGCTTTTTATGCACCACTATCAACATCATGTACTTCTTATTGGCTACGAACTTATCTGCTACGCTTGGGATCTTGTGCTAGGTTGCTAGGTTGTTGACTATATCTTATCTTTTGATTATTGCATGCCAACTTTAATTTCTCTTTCAGCCAAAGCAAGTTAAAGGAAGCTCTAAGACGTGATAATTCATTTTACTTTTTTTTTTTGCTTGTGGGGATTTGGATTAATTTCATCATCTGCATATTTGCAATCCATATCTGCTCATGCGAAAGTTATAACTGTTATTCTTGGAAACCTCCGACATTATACAAACTCTGGCGGCAAAAATTCATTTCTCAAAATATTTTTTTAGAAAAAAAATATTAAAGTGGATGTCAAATTATCACGCATGTGAGATGAAAAATTAACGAGATGTTTTTTACATTAATTTTGTTTTAAAGTTCATTTTTCAAAACTTGACTTGATTTTGTGTGTTTAGTTATATTTTCAATTTTTTTAAACGAAAAACTTGTTTAGTAATTATTTTTCAATTAAGAAAACTGAAGTTCCTTTTTGTTTTCTTTCCCAAATGATAGCGTTGGTTAAATTGTTAGTTGTTAGAGGGGAGGGGGAGCAATGGGGATCGAACCAGCACTAGGGTATGCATAAAAAGCTACTTCTTTTAGCTTTCAAAACTTGGCTTCATTTTGGTTTTTAGTTTTCAATTGGTCTAAAAACGAAAAACAATTACCAAACGGTTTCCAGTATTTTGTTTTCACAAAAATATAAAAGTTAAAAACTGAAATGATTATCAAATAGTACAAGAGGTGGTATGCACTAAGATTAATTTATGCATTCATGATATATGCCTCAAATAAAAATAAGGGGTAGAAAATGTGCATTAATATATTTTATATAGATCAAAATATGCGTCCACTGAGAATTTGGGATTAATCAAAATATTTTAGAAAGGAAAAGGGAAAAAAGCTTACAAAAGAAGAACCGCGTATAATTCTCATTCATAATGGCTGCAGTGCAAAACGCAAAAGCCTGTATTGTCCATGAGATATGCAAGTCGCATTTTCGTTGATTCTAATCATGGTTTAATTAGTAGATAGTACCTACTTAATTAACGCAAATCTTTGTTGTATAGGTGGGATATATATGTAGCATTAATATTGTTAAAGCTTGGTTAACGTCTCTGCAGGCCACGCATGCATGCGGATATATTGCAGGCTTAACTAGCAGGTGCACGTGGTATCTTCAGCTTCTTAACTAGTATATATTAAGCTCTGTATGTAATTAACAGAATGTACCTCTTGACTTAGACTCTTTCCTTTTTATACATATAATTGAACATCCTAAGGAAATTCATTCACAACGTTAATTGCTATATTTGATTAACTAATTGCTGAGATCTGATAATATATTTTCATATTAACTTTCTGCAATGATATATATATATGGGGTGTGAGACAAGATTCGTAGGACCATCAAGTGGGGCAGGCCAATTCCGCAAGTAGAGACGATAGAAAACAGGAGAAACTCACAGAAGAAACAATAGGCAGATGGAGTCGAGAGACCCAAGCGCATGCATTGGATCACCATTGCAGAGATAGAAAGCATGGCTCCAGGAGAGAAACCTAAACAGAAATCCCTCAATCAAAAGCTTCTATATCTGTGTGTGTGTGTGTGTGTGTGTGTGTGTGTATGATATCTGTACGTGTCTATCATGCATCGACCGTTTTGAATTTGTTTCGTAATCCTTTTCGATAGGTTTATAAATGAATTAGGAAATGTAGTTTGTCGATTTGAACCTTGAAACCTATTGGTTTTTCGGGGGACTTGTGAATTGCCCTAGTTGTATAGTTGTCCGCTGAGTTTGCGTACGTCTTGCTTTAGCCGACATTGCTTTTTTCACTCTTCCTCTTCACCTTTGTTTATCTTTCTTTTGTTGGAATTTTTGGATCGCTGGGCCCGCCCCACTCTAACGACACCGATATTGTCCCCACTTAACCACCTGCACAATCCTCACCCCACCGATGTGGGACAGTTTTAACACTCCCCCTCGCGTGTAACCTCATTTAGTGGTTCACACGTGGAGATCCACATCGGTGATTGAAACTCAGAGGTCGGCTGACGTTGGGCCCACTTGTTTTCAATTGGAACTCAGCGGTCGTCTCTATATTAAGAGCTCAGACTTGTTTCCTTCCGGGTGGTGACAAGCTCGTTGGCTTGCACGGGCCCGCAACCGTGGGCTCTGATACCATGTTGGAATTTTTGGATCGCTGGGCCCGCCCCACTCTAACGACACCGATATTGTCCCCACTTAACCACCTGCACAATCCTCAGGTGTGGGGTTTTACCACAAAAGGCCTCGGTATTAGTTAGAGTGGGGTAATACTATTTAAACCCCTTTGGTTTTCTTCACCCCACCGATGTGGGACAGTTTTAACATCTTTCGTCTTTTTCCGGCAATTACGTAAAGCTTTCTTACCGGCCGACTGGCGTAAAGTGCCAATTACCCGTGCGAAATGATTAATTTATGTTTGCCTACCTAGCTAGTATTTCCATGCATATGCATCATATAAATTCGTTTTGAGATTCAGAGAGGAACGTACTAACTAGTCAATTAACTGCTAATCAAGTAACGCAGTGACCGGTGACCAGTGACCCGTGCCCCTCTCTTTTTGTTGGGTGGTGGGCCATGGCAGTTGCTTTCTGTTTGAACTTTGACATAAATGTCCCTTTAAAGCCAAAAAAAAAACCCTAGAAAGCACCGGTGAATAAAGTTACCCTAACTTAAGAAGATCCCTAATATAATATATTACAAATATATTAACCACTCTATTGTTGATGCCGCCGATATTGAAAGGGTACAATGGTCAAAATGGTGTTGATATATCATATTATAGTGGCGTAAACTGCCGATTTGCCCCTTGAATTATCACCCAACTTTTGATTTCTCCCCTGAACTTTTTAATTGAAAAATTAAGGACTTAAACTAATCTTTTTGGCCGATTTGCCCTTGCTGTTAATTTTTCATTCATTCCATCCAAAATTTTGTTAAATGGAAGCATGTGCACAACATGTGTGGGTAGTTCGGTCGTTTCATTCTTTAAAATAATTGAAAACCTTAGATTTATAAAATATAAACCTATGCAAATATGTGTGAATATATAGCTTTTATGTCTGAAGGTCTAGTGAAGTGATGCTTTTGTACACAAAGGAGAGTTACGTGGTTTGCTCATGATAAAAGTTAACGTTAATTTGGATGAAATCTATGAAAAACTAACGGTAGGGGGCAAATCGGCAAAAAAAAATTAGATTAAGTCCTTAATTTTCCAATTAAAAAGTTCAGGAGGGAAATCGAAAGTTGGGTGATAGTTCAAGGGGTAAATTGGCAGTTTACTCTGTTATAGTGTCTACAAATGCGGTTAACTGCAACTTAATATGAGTAAAACATAAAATTCAATCGATCTCGAATTAGTTGATAGTAAGTTTTAGCCCACGTTTTAGAAATTAAATTATACATTTGGAATGAATTCGTTGCACCACTATTTTATACAATTTTTGACATAATTTTTGTGGGGCCCACTTTATTTCAACGATTTGAACCGTCTATCTTTTAGGTTCTACCAAAAATCACCCAAATCTGAAATTATATAATAGTTAGATTAAGAGTTTAAGGTTTTTTGTAGAACCGTATTCTTTCATTGTCTTCACTACAAATGATTGTTTTAATTTGTTTTGGGAGGTGCACATAAACTTAGGCCCGAATGCTGAAAAAACAAACAACAAAAAATTCCTAATCTTGAGCAGCATTAACCAGGTTGCCGCCGCCACCACATCCTCAAAGGAAACCAAACTCCAAACCCAAAAAGTAGACGCCAAATCAAGTCCCCTTCACGAATCCCTGCAAAGATATACAAATAAAGTATCTCATGGGTAAAAAGTAAGGCTAAAGAATATGTAAAATATTGTTACGGTGACGAAAATCATAAAACACTTGACCTCAATGAAAATCCGGCATGCGGATTGGAGGAGGAGAAGTGAGGTAGGGAGTTGCATGATTAAAATGAAGGCTTTCACCATGCATGCATGAAGTGGCATGGTGTCATGTAGTCAGAGCCTTCAATGTCAGAAAAGCAGAGGAGAGAGAGAGGACGCATGCCGTATATATTGAGCAGCTCTCTTAGTCTCCCAGTCATGAGTATCAGCATCGAAAATTAAGAAGGTGGTCCAAGACATGTGCTAAAAGCGGCGTTTCACCTGCCGCTATGTGCGCGAGGAGATATGATCACGCGCCATGGAAATTCCAGTCTCCCTTCTCGTCGATCGTCGGTGACATAGAATATCGATAAGAATGATACAATGGTACATCCGTATGTCTACTCTGTCTATAAAATAACCATGCAACTGATTACACGTGAATTAATTAACACCATATGACGATACAATACAACTGTTATATGAAAAAACTTATTGTCCTCATTGTACGCATTAGCGTCCCATCGCATCTAGTAGCAGATTCAGGATTCGAATCTTGGGTGGTCCCACTGTTAAATGTTCAAATTTTATAAATAGAAACAAAGCACGAACCACACAAAATAAATTTCAGTTTATTCACTGAGGCATTTCATCGAGCACTTCATGAGGCATATCGAGAAAATTTGTCGAATATTGTCCATGTAACATGTCGAGATATGCCTAACAAGTATTACATGAAACACTTATTAGGTACAAGCGGACTGATACAAAACATTTGAAGGGTCGTTTGAAGACCTTCACATGTATATTTATGAACTCCAAATGGTCTTGTAACCACCTAAATCCCAATATGCGTCCACCTTTGATCACATCCTCATTCTATTTCTAACCCTAGCAACTGTTTATAGTTAGAGTGGTGGAAGTCTCGAACTTGTGGCCTCCGAAAATGGAGAACTTGCCAACACTCATCTGGACGACTAGGCATTCATGACATCCTGAATCAATAACACAATGTCACGTATTTTAAAATTTTTATGTCCGACAAATAATTAATTTGAAATATCATCATGGCATTCTAGTTTCGTTTAAGTCATCCCGAAACTGAATAACAAGTGGCAGATCATATATGTCCATATTATTACTGAGATTTCAGTATTATGTAACGTCCCTATCAATCGACAAATATCTCGTTAGCTGATCTCCGTCAAAAGAACTGATTGAGAGTGACACAGCAAATCAATTCTTCTTCAATTATTTGAGCCACGGCGGCCTTTCTTGTGGCTGGGCCTAGTCGGTTTGTATCCTACAGTGTTGAGTATGAACACAATCCCATCCATGACCCAATCCTTACAGTCTACAGGCCCAAAGTGAGGCTCCGCAAAGTTGTTTACTTCTCTCTCTTTTTATTTTCACAAAGCGGTATTCAAATCTAACATAGAGAGAATAATTCAAACTCGAGTGCAAAAAGATTCGGTAAATTTAGAACATTGTTATGATTTATTTGGTCCAACTTATAAACAAAATTACTCTCTAATCTATCGACAATATAGGATCAGAAAAGGCATGATAAAGATATCCACCTGAAAACAAATAAAAATCAGAAACCCTAAAAGGAAACCTAGCTACCCTCAATTGTTAATGTTAGGTAATACATTTCCAAATTCTATGCAGAGATAAAAATGGAAAAAATAGCTATGACCAACCCTACTCCTAATTCTTCCATTTCGTATTAACATTTCTCTATCTAAATAAATGAGTCAGCTTCTCTATCACAACAAACAATTTAGCTTATGGCATATTCTTACTTTGATTTACGGAGAGAGGATTGAAATTTGAGTGAGAGTCTGGTAGATAGGCACATTATCACGATTAATTGACATAATCCACGTCTGCATCACACACTCATTGTAGATTTTATAAAAATTATAAATGACTCGATTTGTAATGGTAGAAGATAAAACGAGTACCAAAATCGATACTCAAAAGCGATAGAGGTTTGTGATATGATTAAGTGAGAAGCAAATCCAAGTTGCCTAAAGAGTTAGAGAGTGCAATAATGCATATTTGGTTTTGAAAGATTTGGTGTTTCCTTATGTGGTGGTTGAATATATTTGAAGCACAGACCATATGAGTTCATACTTCTATTTACATAATGCAATTGATACTCCTCTCAAGTGCTTCTTGATTCGAGTTGATGCAATGCAAAGCTGACTCGAGCTTTTATTGCCCTAAAAAAAAGGTGGTCCTGAGGGCTGAGGTCGTCCACAGAACACACACTACATTCAGATGATGGAATGAACATATTTAGTTGGAAAAAATGCACAAAAACAACTTTGTGTGCTTTGTGAAGAATAAGGGTAAATGAGTAGCACCGTGATTTTATTGAGTGGTATAACCAATTCATTTATATGTTAGGTAGAAATATAGATATGCAAATTTATAAAAATATCGATGGATATATCGACATTGGTTACCTTCAACAGAAATTATGGAAATTTACAATGGGGTAGGTATATCAATTCATTCAGATTTAGTCGAAATTATAAAAATAAAAATAAAATCGCAAAAGAAAAATTCGAAAGTTAGAAATCTGTATTGGGTTCTGACAAATTTTCTGTAATGAATCGGTAAATATCATTGATACTCACTAATTTTCTTATATTTCACTGATATAGAGTGAAGTTTCCATTTCACCCCTCTTTCCATATCGATCATTGATTTTTCATTCAAAAGCATAAACCAGTTGTTTGTTTATGTTAAAAACGAAAAGTAAGTATATCGCATAATTGTATTTCAATACCAATCAATAATTTTTCCAAAACTTATATTATTAATATACGTTTTCACATGTCACTAACTTAGATGATTTAAAACAAACTCAAATGCTTAGTGGTAGGTGCTATGCAACCACCTTGAACCAAAATTTCTTCCCCATTGATGGAAAGTGCACAGTGGACTTTGATTCCTCATGATTCCACAAACTAATTATATTTCCTTAATTCAAAAGATTTATCCACACCTCCAGCAACCCCAAGTGTTCAATTCTATCTGCAGAAGCTTTTTCAAATTTCGGATCCCCTAATTTACAAATCGTGATGGGAAACAATCATTCAAGGTCGTTGTAGTATCGTGGTAGTATTCCCGCCTATCACACAGGTGGCTCGGATTTGATCTTTGGCAACATCGATAAAGCAGTGGCGTTTTATGATTCATACAGCCGACCTCGCTCAATCGAATAAAGCTTAATTATTGTTTGTTTTATTAGATTGAAAAAAAAAAGACTAATTGTAAAGCAACTATAAGGAAGAGTGGCTTGAAGCTTTCTTATATGCAATCATAATTTTAGAGAGATGCAATTGCAAATGCAGATGTGAATGTGAATACACAGTGAGAGTGATTTAGGGATGTAAATTATGGAGGAAACTTCTCTCCCAACATTTTAAGTGGCACCACTTTCTAATATTTCCCCATAAAGCAGTTGGTCCTTGCAACTTTTGGGATAAATCCATTTTCAACACTGATTTTGGTGCTTAATTGGCAATCAGTCTGAAGTTCTGAACGGTCACAATTAGAAGTGGAGCTAGTTATGTATGGTGAGATGCAACTAGTCCTTGTTTCATTTTGTTTCATTTTTTTAGGATTTACATCGAGAGAGACTTACATGCATTTTTTCGAAATCCGTATTATAGTGTCCTAAATCAATCCTAAAATGTTTAAGTCGGAAATTAAAAAGACATATCATTATTTTGTTGGCTGCAATGTTACTGTAGAGTCTGAAGAGGTAGATGTAAGTTCTTTCCGTTCAGTTAAACACAACTAAACTAGATAATTACTTACTATAGCGTATGAGTGTCCGAGAGAGTCTAGGACGATACCAAAAAACATCTAGCCCATGATAGCACGCCGCACCAAAAACTTAACCTAATAAGCTTAAGACATGGGGTCCTACTCCTAGGTGATGGAAAGTGACACTTGATCAAATGTGGCTTTCATAAATGAGGTAATTTTCAAGAGCACACCTCTCTCCCTTCTCTTTTACTTGTAACTTTAAATGGAAAAGTTTAAAGAATTGAGATTCTTTATGAATTTCAAAGTTTTGAGTCGATGCATTGAGAAATTTGGACCGTACAAGAGAGAAATTCAAGCCTTCTGTTTGTATGAGATCAGTCAGTGAGATGGGCTAATGAGTGGTCCAGATCTCCAGGTTCGTCTCAAAAACCTCTCCAACTTTTGGCTTTTATATTATCATACTCCTAGTAATTTTATAGTTGAAAATTTGTTGATAAACAATATTATGAGACATTCCAAAACAGTGTAGGATAACATATAATAATTTAAAATTGTCAGAGAGAGAGAAACAAATAAGTTCCTAATAACTATATGCTTTGGGAAGAAACAGATCAAAGTGCCCTACAAATGAGAAAGATGATGAAATAAATTATTTAGAAGAAAAAAAAAACTAAAAGAAGATGGAAAATTGCAAGAACAACTCAATTCTTCCACCCCCTTAAAACTAAAAGTTGCAACCATTACCTCTGCAAGGCATCCTTTGAACTGATGGGACCCAAAGAGACAAATAATTAACCACATTGCCTGTACTTCGCCTTCATTTGCATCATTACAGTTGCAGATAATGAGACCCACCAAAAAAGTTTCATGCTTTTGTTGCTTCTTCTTGCACGAAATTCTAAAATGGACCAAGTGAATGAACGGCTGGATGTACTATTAAGAATTCAACGTCGAAAGATGCATACTATGTTTCGGTTCATACTAAAAAACCCTATCTTCCGACCTACCACGCCATGTATTCAAAATGGTCATGTGCTTCATCCTCCATTGGAGCTGGAAGATTGAGATCAAATAGTGCTGTGATTTCAGCCTCATGAGGAGGGGATTGATCAGGTTCTTGCTGCCCAAGTACCACAGTTTTGACTTCACATCCCCCAACAAAATGTGACCTTTTGTGACCGCCCAAAGCTTGGCCTGACCTGAAAACCTTGAAGCAGAAGGGACACTCATGCCCCTTGCTTTTCTTGGACCCTGAACATCTCTTTGCACTGCCACTGAAGTCCTGATCATCCATTGGTTTCTTCCCACTGCAAGGCTGCTCAGCAAGCTTGCTGCTTGCGGGTGTCAGAATTGGAGAGGGATCGGTGTCCATGCTGTTTTCCCCACTCTCATAGATGGACTCAGAGTAAGCAGTGGTCTTGGTGTGACTTGCTCTGTGCGCCCCAAGAGCCCTGTGAGAATGGAACGTTTTGTTACATGTCAACAAGCACTCGTATTTTCCGCTCTTTCGTGTATTTCTGCAGGGTTCGACATTGGAAGAATCATCAGCTATTGGTCTGTGAAAAGTTCCATTCTTGGTTGTATTTCTCAATGCATACTTCAAAGTCCTTCTATCTCCATGCACTTGATCAGGACTACGATCTTCTGCATTTGGCACATCCTTGCCTAATTCAGATTCAACACGAAAACCCTTCCTTAATTTCACATCATAGGACTCATATCCCTCGATTCTGGATCCAAATTCTGCTCTACCCTTGTGAAATTCACCATTCCTAAAAAACCCATCTTCTGAAACTTCCGAATCAACTTTCTTAGGTCGTTCATGTCTAAAATACCCGGAATCAGAATTGTCAGAAACACCCATCTCCTCACAGTTGAACTTTTTCTCTCTTGCTCTCTTCATCCCTATAACATCACTCACTTTATAGGCACAGTTCATACCTTTCTTAGTACTAATCCTCACATCGATAGACGATGATTTCGCCTCCAAAACCACAGAGGTGTTGTCTGAAGACTCAGCAAACGAATTCAAACCCCCTTTACTACCCGAATCGCGTGACAGCATCATCAAACAAATAGCAACTTCTTGCTGCTCTTGCTCGATTCCGGAACCACCAGATGACGAACCACCATTTGCCACAGACGAGTAAACATCCAGATTCTGCTGCTTCAATCTTTTGGATATCCTTCTCTGCCTCGGAGGAGCCGATGTCTCAGTATCCGACTGACTGTCCATTACATCAAGCAGCTTCTGCTTCTCATCGAACTCTAAGATTTCTTCAAGCTTGTTCATCAGCTTCTCCTTCTCCGAGTGACAAGCCATGTGACCACACAGAGCTTTCAGTGACTGAAACCCTTTGCCGCATACTTTACACGCCTTCTCCTGCTGCAACTGGAAATTGGGGTCCGCATCCGAAAACCTCCATGTTTTCTTGGGGTTTTCTCTGAGAGAATACCCAGAATGCCCACCATCTAAAGGTGAAAACTTTACAATCCTAGAAGCAGCGTTGGCTATAATTTCATCATCTTCTTCCTCTTCTTCTTTTTGAATAGCTGGTTTTTTGTTCAGAATCTTCAGATGGGTTCTTATGTGACCACCCAATGACTTCCCACAGGGGAACCTTTTGCTGCAAAACTTGCACACAAATTTCTTTTTCTGGTTCTGATTGTTCTGATCTTCTCTCTCCATGGTTGGATTTCTTTTCATCACTCAATAGTCAAAACCAAAAGATGGGGCAGCAGTAACAAAGTAAAATTAGCAAAACTTACCTCAAACGAAGTAGCTAGAATGCAGCATTATTCGGTTAAATGGTTGCAGTAAAAAATACCCAAATGGCAGAGAGAAACAGAGCACAATCTCTCTCAGATCGAGCTAGCCGCTGAAGAAATAGATCACAAAGTTTGGAGCTTTATTGCAGGTGATGAACAGATGGGAGAATTGAAGTGTTGAGATGTGACGGTTTTGTGAAGTACGAGATCCGACCCAACAAAAAGGGACCCTTTAAATTCCATATCAAAGTATAACCCACAATCCCTTTTTTCAATGTTGAAAACAAAAATTGGGATTAAATCGAAAAGATCAAATTTTGGAGAAATGGGTTTCTTCTCGCCAGTGATGGCGATGAAGAGGCCTGTAAAACACAATCAAAGCTTAAGCCATGACTGATTCAGAGATTCTTCTCTCTCACTTTCTCTCTCTAAGCTCTTTCTCTCTCTAGCTTGTGTTATAGTCGGAGGAGAATTCCATGCATGGAATGGAAGCAAAAGATAAAAAGGGAATAAAAAATTGGCAGCACGTGTTGTCAAGTGAGACGTCTTCGCTGCTCAACTTGACGGCCAGGATTGCTGGGTGTGTATTGAGGATCCCAAGGTTTGAGGAAGTCTAAAATTTATACGATAACGATATTCACCTAATTATTTTTACTCCTCACATTTTTATTAATTTTAGATCATTGTTATTTTTCAATTCATTCGTTCTGATAACCAAAAATTAAAAAAATTGTGTGAAAAGTAAAAATAAGCGTGTGGATAATACTAACCAATAAAATAGTGTAAAACTGAAACATCTTCAACCAAAGGTCAGGTCTTTATTGTTTTATAAGCTTCCTATAGTCATATAGTTCAAGGAGTGCTGGGGACAGTCTTCAACACGCCGATAGGTGACTCTCATCTATTGATGCAATTACGAGCCTTTATGCGCCAAAAAGAGTAATTGCATCTAGCAAAGTCCGAAAAGGAAATGTATTTGCATAAATGATAGGTATATCTCAACATATTAATGAGTTTTCTTTACTTTCTAATCACTTTCCCACTACATTAGTATATGACCGGTCATGACTCTTTTGTAAAACAATATTTATATACGATTCAACAGCTAAGATTGAAATCATCAAACTAATCTTGAAGTTAGATGCTGACCAAGATGACACATGTTATTCCCAATTCATCAAACACCAAAATAAAATGTGTAAGTTTCACACTATTCAATTCATAGAAAGTCACATTTGCTTAGTAATTACCAGTTTCTTTGATCAAGTTAACCGCCCATATTGTAGTCATCTCCTTGTCATATATCCATTGCAGATGTTTAATTATTAAAATTTCATGCTTGCCATTTTCCAGATCATATTTTTTGTTTAAAACTCATATGACAATTGGGTAAGGGAAAATTCTCCGCTCGGTTGTATCTTCTAATCTTTACTATTTGTATCTATTAACAAAATTCAAATTTTAAAAGACAGGCACACTATTCTAACCAATAGATCAAACGTAATTTTTTTGGGTCAAACTTAGGATGCGTTTGTTACGCCGGCTTATTTCGGACTAGACTAGCTTTGGGAACTAACTTGGATTAGCTTAGACTAAATTAAGCTGAACTGATTCAGTGAAGCGTTTGATGTAGTATCAGGACTAAGAAACAGACTAATAACAAATTCCAATATTATATTATTTAATTCATATTTAGTAATATTTTATTATTACTTCTGACTATTTTCTCATTCTAGAAACCTCCTTCCATTCCCAATTGTTTTCCGTTCATCCCCTTTTTCTTCCTAAATTTTCTCTGGCCCTCTCCCTCAGTTTTCTTCCTAATTTTTCTTCGTCCCTCTCCCTCTTCGTCTCCATCTTCTTCTTCCTTTTGTTCTCCGTTCATCTCCCTCTTTTCTTCCTTTTGTTCTCCCTAAGACCCAATTGGTGAATCAAAACTCGAATCAAAGTCTAGGTCATCTGGGTATTCATGGGTATACTTCTCTGGCGTCAATGGCAAAGGTCTACAATAAAGGAGTCAAGACTTGGTGCATGTGTGATTAGAGTGACTGTTACGCATTTCATATGCATAGAGATTTTGTAATTTTGTAATTTTTTTTTTTTTGCTTTTTTGTTTTGAATTTTGCTGGATATGGGATGAAAATGGTAGATGAGAGGGGTGAAGTAGGAAGTTGGTAGATGGGAGGGGCGAAGTGGAGAGGAGTGGGCTTAGTAGTCCGGTCGATTTCGGGAGGTTTCGCTAAGACCCTTTAGCGAAGAGCTTAGTCCCATTTAGTCGGGGTAAGTCTCATTAAACTTTGTCCTAGCGTGTAACACAAACGGGACTACTCTGCCAGTTAATCCAGTCCAATCTAGTGAATGCCAGTGAGTGCAAACAAACGCACCCTTAATGAGTTTTAAAGTTCATAGAGTTGTTTGACATCTTGTAATTGGAAAGGGATCATCCTGATCCCTTCCACCTGAGCCTACTGAGCACAAAATCCAAATCCTTGAAATTTAATCTAACGGCTAAAATTATTATAACTTTAATGGAATCCCCTGTTTTTAGATGTTAGATCAAATTTTAAGGGTCCGGATTTTATGCTCAGTTGGCTTAGGTGGAAAGGGATTATGAGGTCCCTTTCCCTTGTAATTGACCAAAATTTTGCCTAATCAGCTGAAGAATTCCACGTGGCCAACACAAAAGAATTAAAGAATTCAACCACCAATTTTCGACAAAAAAAAAAAACTACCCATTTTTAAAAGCATTGACTTGACTTTGCAGATAAGAGAATCGCAATTGCAGCATGCATGTCAGTCCTTCCTCATTATAAAGGAACCGGATCCGTTCTGATCCAAAGGAATTGAGCTCAAAAATCAAATGATTTAGGTCATTAAAATTTAATCAAACGGTTACAATTATTATAAATTTTAGAGGGGCTCTTGTTTGTAGCTTTTGGATCAAATTTCAATAGTCCGGATCATTTGATCTTTAGACTCAGTTCCTTTGAATCTGGAGGGGATCCGGTTCCCATTATAAATTCTAAGCAGAGTACTTAAATACCCAACATGATACTCTCTAGATCCTTTTGGGGAGAATTTTGGGAATTCATAAATCGTGTTCGTTTATCGTACATCGTATAGTTTTTATCAGATACCGTTTGTGTTTAATTTTACATAAAAATATTTAAAATAATTTATGATCGCACGATATACGATGAACGAACACGATTCTCATGATCCACATAAAGAGGATCCGGAGAGCATCCGTATTCCTTAAAGACTGCCGCAACTATACATTTTATTGGATTTATGTTTGTTTTTCTTTACTCGACTTCATCCAGTCACCCAATAAGTTGAAAAATATCACCAACCACGACTTCGCACATGTTTTCCTGCTTTATACGAGCGCTGAATAAGAAAACGAGAGTGAATATCACCAGTCCGAGACATTAAAAAAAAAAAAAGGGAGGAGAGGAGAAGGGGGGGGGGGGGAAGTATTTGATGAAGATTCTCACGAGGAGAAAACAGTGTGGCTGCCTGCTATGGGACTGTAAATAAAGAGGTAATGAAGGCACACAAAATTACAAATGACAGGAATATTCCAATGAGAAAACTTGACATATACAGGAGGAATATCTGATTCCATGGATTTTTGTACAAAAAGAAACACCGGATATCAAATCACCTGTGCTTCGGGAAAAAAATATTAATAAACAGAAAAAAAAATAAATTGAGAAAAGCTCCCTTGCATAGAAACTTAGCTTCCAATCTCAAAACAAGAGCTGTACAGAATTTACGGTAACAATTATTTGGGTTAAAAGAATTATTTCCTAACCCACACGCGACTAGCCACCAGCTGGAGCCTTGCGCTCATCCTTCATCCTGTAATCCTCCATGCCTTGATCGAATATGCCTTCAATCATACTCCACGTCGGCAGTAGATCATCGCCTTTCATGGTGTCCACCGTGAATCTGGCGTCCCAAACTTTAGCGTTGCAAGGCTCCGATAAATATGCATGACCAGCTACATCACCGGATGCATCCGGTTGGCTATCCAAGCATTTGCTGTCATGCATATAGGACTGAAATTCGAAAGATACGCACGAGTCATCTTGGAAATCAAATTCCTCTCCAGTACACCCTGAATTATTTTCCCAATCCCCAACTGTATCAAACTTTCCTTCGTTAACTGAGTTCAGCATGTATGATTGTGCCACATGATCTATCCCGCCATCTTCTTCGCTAGAATCTCCTCCAACATGCCCCACATCACCATCACCGTCACCATCATCATCATCACTACTATCTTCTTCGGAGTAATCCTCTTCATGGCCCAAATGATCACCTTGATAATAAGGAGACTCAACAACGGAGTCTTCATCATCTTCAGCAATTCTCCCGTCATTGGAACCCCCATCGTTTACATGCCACTCATCATCATCACTATCTATGTCTAGTATACTAGACCTGTTCTGAGCACCCCGCGTGCGAAGCATGAACACATTAAAATAATAGCTGATCAGTTCCCTTTTACTTCGAGAAGGGAACACTGCAGACAACTGCTTCCAAAACTTCCTCCTCAATGATGCAGGATTGGAGTAAATAACCTCAAGAAAGGTCTGCTCTTCTTCTTCACTCCATCGTCGTGCCACTTCCTCCCCCATGTCACAAAACCCCAACTTCACAAACTTTTCATTTCCAAGGGTTCTTCTAAGTTCTTCCCGTGCTTCCATGACATGCTGTCGCACACACCTGACTGAACCTGCGTCCAGGCAGCTACAATCTGTTCGACCAAGTCCAACCTTATCACACTCAAGAGGTGATAGGTCTGACACAGGCATTGGAATGACACAAGTTCCTAAAAGCTTTTCCTCACTGTCATTATTAATCTCATCTTTCTGATCCGACAAATTCATGCGTCCACTCCAAGTGGGGATAATGGCCTGATGATCTGGTCCAACAGGAACTTGTTTTCTTGGAGAGCAGTCAAACAAAGAAGAATAAGCATCCTTGCAAGGAACACATGTTCTCCTTGGGAAGTCAAATTTGAAATCCTCAGTAGGAGTTGAATAAGCATCTGGTCCAGACCGCACATCTTCTTCACCACAACTCCTAGTTACCGATGAGAAGGAAGCACAACCCTTGTTGACAGATGTTGAACCTTCAGCAACACTGTATTTTTCAAGAATGTCAAGCCACTGAGATTTACAATCACCATTCCGATTCTCCCCTGAATTATGGAAAACAAGATTAGACTTCACCATGAATCTATCAAAACAAACATGTTCAGTAATTAAAATAGCAGGGCTTTATTAGCTAAAAAAGAGAAAACGAAGGTAATGTAATCCCAAAATAACATTTACCTGAAACACAAGTTTTTCGGGGAGCGCCATTACAAGGAACAGCATCAGAAAATGGTGAGCGCCTATCACCGAATTCATGCTGTCTTGAGTGCTTATAAGGAAGCTCCTGGAACTCCATCATCAAAGGGCCTTTTGAATCCCATATTAACCTGAAGCCCAAATAATTTTCTATGAGAATTTTGAAAATATGCATGACAACACCAACAACAATAATACTTAGGCGTTTAGCAGGAAAAAAACAAAACTACATTTTTCATAGAAATTTTTCCAAAGCCAAGACCGCAGCCATGTAATGTTGCTAATCCAAACCCGCCAAAACCCGCATAACTTGCTTTCAATTGCTCACCCACTTATCAAAACACCAACATATCTTCACTTGAACACAGACCACTTAAGCCTTTTTTATCATTTCACCAGACCACATATTCCAACTTAAGCTTAATAACTAACAAAATATTTTGAATAATATCAATATTCAATCTCAATCTCAATACTGTTTCCATTTATCAGATTTATTTGTCAGCATAAGAATAATAATGATAACTGATAGGGAAAAAAACTCACAATAATTACAACAAAACCCATCACAAAATTAAAGTAACAACAACAAAATTGTACCTCTATTAATTCTTCAGAGGAACAGTAGACGGCTTAAGTAATACAATTGAACGCTGAATTATGAACAGAAACAGATTGACCGGCCTTAGGAACCGTCACCCTAATCCAATTTTACCAAATAAAGAAGGTGAATTTTTTTAGAAAACCCTAACCCTAGAAATTGCAATTACCAAGTGAAATCGTGGAATTATTGACAAAAAAATACACGAAATGGCGATAGAGAGGTGAGCCGAACAAAACCCCTAACCGAAATTACACAAAGAACAAACCCTAATGAGACGAACTCTTCGAAACCCTAGAAATTCGACGCGGCCGAAAAAATATACAAAATTAGGAGCAAATTCGAGAGGGCAAAGCAAGAAGACAGAAAATAGATCCAATAAACGAGAGGGATTGGAATATTACGAGGCGAAAGGGGCCGATTCAGAGTCGAAACCCTAGAATTGTGCGAGGCCAACGGATTGGGTAGAATTTGGGATTAATCGACAGCGGAGATTCGAATTCAAACAAACGGACAACCGATTCAACGATTATGATAAGAAATTTGGGGAAATCTGGAAACAAATTTAGGTCAACCTGCTTGGGATCGAATCGGAAGGGGATGACGATGAAAGATAAAGGGACTACGGTTCGTGCATTTTATGTAAAAGAAGCGGTCCAGGTGGTAAAAAAACCGGTTTAATCTTGATACCGAAAGAGTGTATTGGTGTGGGCTGGACCATATATAAGCCCAAAGGGCTGAAGCCGTCTTTTGTGGAATTGAATTTACGATAAGGTCCCTACTGTCTAATGTTATTGTTTGAAAAAATAGAGAAAAATAAAGAGAGTTTAACAGGAGAAAGCTCCTCACAAACTTTTTTTGATAAAAAAAATTCCTAGCCATTTGTTTTTACCTTTTTTTTTGGGTAAAATAAAAAAAATAAAACCAAACTAATTTTCTCTCTACCCAACCGTGATACCATATGAAGTGACATCTTACTTTTGGCCACCGAGTTTAAAGATAGGGCGGTATTCTCAAATAATACATTCGTAAATTCAAACTTGGATTAAAAATTCCAAACTTTTGCTCACTTTATATTAGAAAAAAACAAAAAATTGCTAAACACTCGTAATATTGAATAACATGTAGCATTTGATGCCAGTGATAGCGTGACAAATGATGAAATTTCCAATTCACCAAATCTTTGTAAGAAAAGTCATATTACACTTATGGACAAATTCAAAAGGGGACCCAGATGGTCCAGGGACCACCTGAAAGCCGGTAAAAGATCATTTGAAGGACGTTCGAGGACCTCTCGATTCTCTTGGAAGATCAGCAGAAATATAATTTCCTGGTTTCTGATTTTATTACATTAAACTAAGAAAATAACAAATTGAGATATATTCCACTAAGCCGAGGACAAAGCTCACGAACTGTATTAAGGATACTATTACAAGTAACATATGACGCAACATAAACCCCCAAGTTTAAGAATAGTGAAATAACAAAATCATACAAGAAGGTAAAAATTAAGGACAAATTAAGCATCCACTCTCGGTAACAAACTTCAGAACTGACAGAACTTTTACCCACAAGCGGATCGATCTTCAAATTACTGTGCTTCTTCGCTCCTCGTCATCAAGTCTTTACGCCACGGCGGGCATGTCCTTGAGCCACTCGTCCAGGGGCTTTCCGATGGAGTAAACAATGAACCCAATTTGCCTCAGCTTCTCAGCATCCACCACGTTCCTTCCATCGAACACAAATGCAGGCTTCTGCATCTGATCATAAATCTTCTGGTAATCAAGACTCTTGAACTCGTCCCACTCGGTCAGGATGCAGATTCCATGAGCATCCTTTGTTGCCGCATAAGCATCCCAGACTACACCAACTTGCTTCACAGTAGTGGGGCTCTGAGGTTGAAGATGAATGGGATGGTCCCAATCAAACTTCTTCATAGAAAGATCCCTCTGGATCTGGTCCTCACTCACCTGAGGGTCGTATATGCTCAGCCGGGCCTTGTCACCCAACAGCCCTTTGCACACGTCAATGGCAGGTGTCTCCCTAGTATCACCAGTGTCCTTCTTGAAGGCAAATCCCAGGATTGCTATCTTCTTACCCGAGACTGTGTTGAACATTGAGGAAACCACACGGTTCACAAACCGAGACTTCTGGTAGTCATTGATCTTAATGACTTGTTTCCAGTAATTTGCAACCTCAGGAAGGCCATTACACTCGCAGATATATACCAAGTTCAAAATATCCTTCTGGAAGCAAGACCCACCAAAACCAACGCTGGCATTTAAAAATTTGGGCCCAATTCTTGTGTCCTTGCCAACAGCATGTGCCACTTCTTGGACATTTGCACCAGTTGCCTCACAGAGTGCAGATATGGCATTAACAGAAGATATCCTCTGTGCCAAGAAGGCATTGGCAGCAAGCTTTGAAAGCTCAGCAGACCACAGATTAGAGCAGATGATTCTTTCTTCAGGGACCCAATGGGCATAAACTGACTTGAGTGCTTGAATTGCCTTTTGGCCCGCTGGGGTTTCCCGACCTCCAATGAGGACTCGATCTGGGCTAAAAAGGTCCTCGATTGCAGTTCCCTCAGCAAGGAACTCAGGATTTGAAAGAATTTGGAAGTTGATGCCTTTGCTGTTGTGGGTCAGAATCTTTTCAATGGCCTCAGCTGTTTTGACTGGGACGGTTGACTTCTCAACCACAATTTTGTCAGACTTTGATACATCTGCAATCATACGAGCAGCACTCTCCCAGTAGGTAAGATCAGCGGCTTTGCCAGCTCCAAGACCCTGGGTTTTGGTGGGCGTGTTAACGGAAACAAAGACAATGTCTGCCTCCATAACGTGTTTTTCAACATCAGTGCTGAAGAAGAGGTTCTTTCCTCTGCGTTGCTTCACCACATCATCAAGGCCTGGCTCATATATGGGGAGCGTATCACTGTTCCAGGCATTGATCCTAGACACAGAAATGTCGACAACAGCTACTTCAATATCTGGGCACTTAAGGGCAATCACAGCCATAGTAGGCCCACCCACATATCCAGCTCCAATGCAGCAGATCTTCACCATCTTGTTCTGCTATTGACGGCCTAAAGACGAGCAGATCAAAACAATGAGATAAGCAACAGCCCAAGCACTGAAATACTAGATCTTTATGTTATTATAGAATTATCAAAGCTTTAAAAGACTAATTGCTCCTGACCGGCCTTTTAACTTTTATTAAGAACAAAAGGACAAATAAACGAATATATTGGGAGTTTTAACGAAACGCTCCCGATATTGTTCACTTTTAACGAAAATGACATTTTTACTCTAAAAAGTCACTCCTGATACTATTCACTTATAACACCTACAAGACTTGGCTGCTGAAGAATCAGCAGCCCCTCCTGCTGAGAGCCAATCACGGCTGGACATGTGTCCAAGTAGTGATTTTTTAATCACAACTTGGACACGTGTCGCGCGTGATAGGCTCTCAGCAGGAGGGGCTGCTAATCAGCAGCCAAGTTAAATCCTTGATTAAAATTTAAAGTTTTCAAGCCTTTTTCATTAATTTTCCTTATATAATATAAAATGATGACGAACAAGCTTTATTGGTAACCGAGTGTCATTTATTCCATTCAGAGTGCAGTATGATATCCAAATCTAGGAGACAAATTGGTGATCCATGATGAAGGAAAAACATAAATGAACGCAAAAGATTAAACCACGGAAACAAGGGCCTAGCCATCAGTTCGTCTCCTACCGACAACCATATCGAAGAATAGGCTCAAAAGTCAAAACCTTTTCGATTTTAAAGTATAATACTGATTCATGAAACTAAAACAGAGAATTGTAGCTAAGTGTGAGATAGGTAAACGCAAGATCTATAAGTTTAATCGACGAAAAACTCATTACAATTTTTGCAGATCCACAGTTTTTAAAGCAAATGAAAGATGATTTCTTCAAAATTCAGCTAAACAATCCCATTTCTACAACCCACAGAATGCAAATCTCAAATCATAAGATCCAAATTCGCAATTAAAACCGATTTCAATCAGATCTACAGCAAGCAGCGAGAAACTACAAAGATCTACACATTCCAGCAAACCCAAACAGCGTCACAAGTAAATGAGCAACCTTTCTGAATCAAACACCTCAACACACAGAACCCAAATCGAATTTTGCAAAAACAATATCGAAAAATATCCATAAACAAAAAAAATCGAAAACAACCCAATTGAGCAAAACCACGGAGCTCGACGAAATACCAAATGAGCAGAGCAGATGAATATTACCTCAGTCAATGTGAGGCGGGAGGTCGACGGCGGAGAGAGCGAGAGAGATCTTATGCGGAAGAAGAGCGAGAGAGAGAAGAGAGAGGATAGGGAGAGCTGTGTTCTTCTTCTGATGGCAGTTAACGTAGGAGATCTGAGGGGTATATATACGCTCACAGCGCAGTGAGGAGTCTATAAGATCCAACAACCGAGATCTGTGTGACCCGGAAACGGTACCAGCCCGAGCCACGTTGATTCAACACGTTTTCGTTTCACCTTTCACGCATTCATCATCATTTCCTAACCCAAACGAAACAAATATCACGCAGGAAAAAGTGCAGTAATTTATTTAATTTTTATTTTAAAAGTTTAGATATATAATTTATGCTTTGGAGCTGCTAACTAGAAAGTTCCCACCGTTCAAAGTCAACATGCAGTTTTTCCCTTGTTTGTTTTCATGGAAAATGATCTTTTTCCTAAGGATCTGACCTTGCAATCGTGTTCGTTCATCGTACATCATGTAGTCAGTTTTCATTAAGTATTATTTATATTTGAATCTTAAATTTTAAATGATTTCTAACCGATATAAGATGAATAGATACAATTGCTAGTCCTTTTCCTGTTTTTATGAAGAAATTTCTAAAGTATTCAATATTTAAGCGGTATTTTATGATAATAATTTTTTTTTTGTGTTTATAGAGTGCGCATATTTGGAAATAAATTTAGTTTTCGAGATTTATAATGATTGTTTTTATAGCATTTTAGAAATTTTATTGTGTACTACAAGTTTTTTATATTAAAAAATAAAAATAAATTTATAAGGAGTGCGTAATAAGATTATTAAAGTGTCAATAACAAGATCACCTTGGTAATATCTTATTTCTTTCGTCAAAGAATTATTTAGATGTATAAAATTAACATATGTGTCGATTCACTTTTTAACAGATACATTGTCACATCCCGTCTTGACTCTAACGTAGCACGATATTATGAATTATCCACTTTGAGTCCCGACCACGCCCTCACAGTTTTGAATCTGGGAACTCACATGAGAACTTCTCAGTGGGTCATCCATTATGAGATTGATCTTGTGCGAATTCGCTTAACTTCGGAGTTTCAATGGAATCCGAAGCCAGTGAGCTCCCAAAATGCCTTGTGCTAGGTAAAGATGAGAATATATATATAAGGCCTAGATGATCTACTCCATTTGACGACGTGAGATGTTATATACATGCTTTATGATTGTATCTAAATCTAGTTTTATTAAAAAAAATGAATCACTAATTGAATTTTTTTTTTTATTTGGACTAAATCGTACAATATATTAGTAATTAGTAATAGTAAGTAAACAACAAATTCGTCATCTATGTAAAAAAAAAAAATGAACAATCTCGTTACAATTTCAAATAAAGTAAGACTCATGCAATTTTACTTACCACTACTTATAATTAGAATGTTATTTTTTACTACTACTTGTAATTTCATGCTAGTTTTGCATCATGCGCGCACAACACATTACAATATTGGGGTCCAAATAAAGACTTGTAACCTTACACACCCACCCTTCTCCCCCCCCCCCCAACAAAAGAACGTAGAGCCATAGTATATATTGTATAAAAGAGTATGAAAAATTGTATTTTTATATATATCTTGCCCAAAAAAGTACCATAAAGTGTCAATTTTCATTAAATATTAAATCCACAAAAATAAATATAAAAACCAGAAAGTGAAGTTTTTTTTTTTTTGGAGTACAACGATGTATTTTACATTAACGGAAGGGAGGGGTTCGGTTAAGTTACACAATGAGCAACCTAATTTAGTATTGAATTCACCATTTAAGAAATTCAAACCTAAAATCTCACACTCATAAGTGAAAAGAAATATCACCAGATTGTAATATTGAGTGAT